ACCACTAAGGGAGTCAAACTGTACTGATTTTGACAGTTTGGGGGTCAAGATTTCCGGTATTGCGATTAAGGGATACGATTTAGATTCGGTGGTCCGTTGAGGGAGTCAAAGTGATCTTATTCCGCTGATCTTTTGGGAAGTTTCTACCAAGTCTTGGGCCGGGCTGAAAGGCTGAAAGCTTGAAATGGAGTACTACTTAAGCCTTCCAGCAGAAGACACAAATCACCCTTAATAATGCAGTTAATGAGATGATACACAAATCTTTTGCGTATTCCTTAAAGAAAGACAGAAATCACAATCAATCAGACACTATTTCTCCACAGACCATTTTGTCTTATCTCCTTGTAAACACTATACTTTTCCATGTTAAAAAATATATATAGTTTATCCTGGAATGATCATGCAGTATATACTATTCCCTTGGACTGGCATGATTTGGCTGCAACTCCTTAGAACTGCTTGCAAGCAATCCACTCGGTCCCTGCGCTCTGTGAATTGTGATGCAGAAGAGAACAACACTAGCAGCTAACAAAGCCAATTATTAAGCCACCAAATCACATTTAAATCCCTCCTGTGAAGGTGCCAAAACACCAAACTAATGATCAAAAGGGCTGCACTGCCACTAACCACCCTTTTTTGTTGCCTACTGCTAATTATTATTCCAAATCAAATCTGTGTCACGGCTAATGGTCGTTGCGAGCTAGAGCTGTGGCACTTTAGCATAAAGTGATATATCAGCAGATACTGAACCTGAACCTGAAGAAACAGAAGTAGGAGTAGCATGCATTACTATCACTTTGTTGGACAGGCATAAATCTTGCACACAACCTGCTAACAACCATAATAATTATCCCTATAAATATCCAGGTATTAATTTTGATGCTGAATTTCCATTTATTCAGTAACAGTACTCTCCTTCTAGTAAAAAAATTGAGAAGAAGACAGTCTGAAAATCTGAATAATCTCAAGAAAGAAGAAGACAATCTGAAGAGAGTAGTAGAGAATCCCGAGGCCATTAAACCCATTGTTACTCTTCAGAAGAACAATTAGCATCGATGCAAAACAAGGTTCTCACATCCCAAGGACCCATGGGTTTCCATCAAGCTCGAGGAGAGAACAGGAGACTTCGGAAGGTTCGATCGCCTTGGTTTCTAGGCCATGGTCCATGGACCCCCGTTTTTGCCGGCATGAGTTACTGAATTCTGAATTTCTGATGGCCTCAACACTGTAAACAAAATACTCATTCCTTCTTGCTATGCTACTGCTACAGCTAGTAGTGCTAGGGAATTTCCAATGTCAACACCCCAAAAACAGGGAAGAAATTTGTAGTACAGTGCTTAGGTCGAGATTCGAGAAGCTCACTTTGTTGTTCTTGGTCAGCTTTGACAAGTTGAGGTGGCCTGAGGCCCTGAACAATAGCACCGACATTAACTTTTAAATTACTTATTCCGTATTTTAATGTATGACGCCGTTGACTTTTTAACAAACGTTTGACTTTTCATCTTATTCAAAAAATTTATGTAATTATCATTTATTTTATTGTGACTTGATTTATCATCAAATGTTCTTTAAGCATGACATAAGTATTTTTTATTTGCGTAAAAAAATTGAATAAGATGATGGTCAAACGTTGGTTAAAAAGTTAACGGCGTCATACATTAAAATACGGAGGGAGTACTAAAAACACACAAATATATATATAGCTGCGTTACAGCTTATAATCAAGGCATGTTCTAAACTACGGTTTGGATTGGTTAATTACTCGGTATCCATTAGCACACTTTTCAAACCGTTAAACGGCACATTTCCTACTAAAACATTTTTATAACTTTTTATATAAAAGATCCTTTAGAAAATCAAATAAATCTATTTTTCAGTATGCTGCACTAGTGCTAATCTGCTAGACTGCTACCACTACTCTGTGATGTGGCTACTACCTGTGTTCCATGCCAGATTGCCAGCTAATGCTGTCTGCCGATGGCATCACAGGCCAGATGGCTCATTTTGTGCACTCTGCAGTCTGCACTGCGTTTGGTCATGCATCCACTCATCATGCATCCACGGATCAACCAATGCAAAGTGAGCTCGACTAGTTTCCTCTCATTGTTGATATGATTGATGCAGGTACATACACCACTGTATCACTACCTTCTTCAACAGTGAACACACATGATCTATGCTGGAGATATCTTATCTGTAAATGTTAGTAACGGTCTAATTCGTGTGTATAAACTGCAAGAATTGCATCAAGCAGTAACATCGTGGAGATCGTATTAATGACAATAAAAGAAATATGGACGACACTGTAGCAGGGAAAGTGCAGTAAACTGAGGTCACTCGCACTGTAGTTTCTGTCCACATTTTTCAGTTTGACCGTGAATTCTGGGTTGGACCATGCGTTGACTTACCAGTGGTCAGCACTCCTCAGAGAGAGGATCACAAGAGCAGAGAGAAAGCTTTGGCATCGCATGCACAAATTGCAGCAGATCACCATGCACTTGCAAGCTTTGCATTGCAGGTTGCAGATTTGCAGCCTGTTTTTATGTCCTTTTGCATGGACAAGGAATTAATGGAGGGCACTTTTGGGAACCTGCTTCGCCAAAAGCCTTCTGGAAACTGGCAAAAGTCAAATTCACCTCCTACCGTCGAGTACTACAGTAGAAATCCTCATCAAAATAGCCATCACGATCACGAGCAGCATGGAGTACTGAAGTATCTGGATCTGAATAATCTGTGCCTCGTGATTCGCGCCCCATTGTTCTTGCTCCCTGATCTCCTGTTGCGCTTGTGCATCGTCGCTCTCCCTCTCTGCCTCGGCTAATCTCACCTGAGAGAGAGTGAGGCCATCAAACCATTCACAAGGTCGTAGTGGATAGTGATGATGGCGGCCAGCACCATGGTCTCTTTGGAAGCTTCTTTCAGAATCAAAAACTTATTAAACAGTTTAGCTTTTGATTTAAATTCTGAAAAGTTATTGTTGTAGAATCTAAAAAATAAACTATAAATTAGAAGATAGGAACTTAGCTTTTCTAAATTTTAAAAAACTGGCTATCAACCAACTCTTTCTCAGCCGTGAAACATATCGTGTAGCCATTAATTCCGCCTGCTGCGTCTGTCCGTCTGTATGCGTGTGGCGTCGGTGCCCAGCCAACGATCAGCACCAGCGGATCCGGCAGATTGCAAATTTGCAATCTTGTGAAAACTGATAAACATTGCCATGATGTGAAATCACATAATCACAGAGAGCTAGCCATGGATGTTGGATGGAAGGGATAAAAACAGTAAGAAATGGTAGCATCTCTACGTAACCGATTTTTAAGGGATCAACTACAATTATAGAGACTACTTATGTATTTTATCAATGAATTTTTTCTTAAAAAATTGTTAGATATAAGTATATTACAATTATAGTGTAGATACATTACATTGTAATATAACTTGTACGTAACTTTTAAAAATCGTGGTAACATATCGTGTTCGTGAAATGAAAGTCGTGGGGGTGGGGAGGAGGGACCGAATCCCCTCACTTGTATGATGTGTTTTTTTTTCTTCCTCATTTACACGAAACTTAAAACAAATTTTACTATTTAAAATTACATGAAAGTTGCATACAAATTACAATATAATTACATTACAATTATACTAATTTACGTTTAGCAAATTTTTGGATGATAGAATTTTTAGGAGAAAAAATATCCATAAATATATAGCAAAACAGTTTTAATTATTTTTTGATAATTGCAACACAATAGTAAGAGAAATCAAATTCTACACATGATTAGAGTCGAAAACGGCCAGAAACGTTACAACTTTTACGATACTTCGTTACCAAATTCCTTCACCGTTCTCATACCCATGTGGATATATTCTTGCAGAATTTCATGGCTACCACCTGCCTAGTACCTCTCCGATTACTACTCGCTCTACAATACTCCCTCCGTCCTACAATATAAGAGATTTTAAGTTTTTACTGGTAACGTTTAACTACTCGTCTTATTCAAACTTTTTTTCAAATGTAAAAAACAAAAAGTTATGCTTAAAGTACCGTAGATAATAAAGTAAGTCACAAATAAAATAAATAATAATTTCAAAAAATTTTAAATAAGATGAGTGGTCAAACGTTGAAAGTAAAAAATCAAAATCCCTTATATTATGGGACGAAGCGAGTAGAATTTTAGTACTACTAGTACTCCACTGCTGTATAAACAGTTACTGAATTACTGATCATACGATGGTTCGATTTGATTTTTAGTAGTAGTACTAAAATTTTTCCCAAAATCATCACATTTTAGACACATGCATGAAGCATTAAATATAAATAAATGAACAAACTAAGTGCACAGTTAGGATGAAAATCGTGAATCTTTTGAGGCTAATTTGTCCATGATTAACCATAAGTGCTATAGTAACCTACATGTGCTAATAACGGATTAACTAGGTTCAAAAGATTCGTCTCGCGGTTTATAGTGAATTATGAAATTATTTTTTTATTCGCATTTAAAAAATATCCGATGTAATACCTAAAAATTTTCTTTTCACGACCGCATGTAGTAGTAATACTGTACAACGTAGTGGTAGCAGGAGCCGGAAGGGTGTAGAACAATAGCCAGTCAATGCAACCTGAGTGCAAGAAGAAAGTACACGAGGCTACAAAAAGAAAAACGGCCAGAATCCTCCACACAAGTACTACACGTTGAACGGGACACTGATGGCCGGCGTATGCATCACACATCACACGCGCCGGCAATTTGTTAATCCTGCAAAAGTCAATGAAGATTAAAAATAAGCCCCAAGTTTAGTTACTCGATCAAAACACCTCAAAAAAAAAAACAACATCATGACACCGACAAAACCAGCAAAGAAATTAAATGTCGAGGACGAAAAAACAGATGCTCACATAAAAACAGCTTACTAATTACCTGTGGTACTACACTTGCTAGCGAATCAGCTACAAGAACAGCGATGCCACAGATTAATTCTTTTTAATACCCATTTTTGTTTTTTTCTCTGGCTATTGTTGCAATCCAAATGACCTCACATTACAGTGACCCACACCTTTGCATGTCGCCTCATGCTTTGGTTGCTAACCCTTCACCTAAACACACCTAAAGCTACCCCATTTCTTGCCCATTGATTAATAAGCTAAGTTAATCCCTCCTTGCACATTTTAGTACTAATTCGCCTACGACTTCTCACACACAAAGCTTCCCTTCCCCCTAAACCTGCAACTGCTACTGCTCCTCTTTTTCTTTTCTTTTTCTTCCATCGCCATCACCTGCTGCTGTGTGTCCTCTGTCCTTCTTCATCGCCAATGGCTGCCATGCCAACACCAAGATCCTTCTCCTACCCCTAGCTCATCGCAAAACAAGCTAGAAATCGTCTCTTCTCCCAAGAAAATTCATCTTTGGATCGTAGAGCGTATTTGAAGAATGAGCAATTCGACGTGGCAGCCGTCGCCGCCGCAGACTCCGGCGGCGGCGGCGTCGTCGGCGTCGGGGATTGACGGCGTGGAGAACAAGATAAGCCCGAGCATCGTGTTCATCGTGGCCGTCTTGGCGATCGTGTTCTTCGTGTGCGGGCTGCTGCACCTGCTGGTGCGGCACCTGCTGCGGCTGCACCGGCAGCGGAGGGCGAGGGAGGACGCCGAGAGCGCGACGGCGTTCGAGGGGCAGCTGCAGCAGCTGTTCCACCTCCACGACGCCGGCGTCGACCAGGCCTTCATCGACGCGCTCCCGGTGTTCCTGTACCGGAACGTCGTCGGCGTCGGCGGCGAGGATGGCAAGGACCCGTTCGACTGCGCTGTCTGCCTGTGCGAGTTCGCCGCCGACGACCAGCTCCGGCTGCTGCCCAAGTGCAGCCACGCGTTCCACCTCGAGTGCATCGACACCTGGCTCCTCTCCCACTCCACCTGCCCGCTCTGCCGGAGGAGCCTCCTCGCCGAGCTCTCGCCGACGTGCACCCCCGTCGTCATGGTGCTCGAGTCCGAGAGCTCCCGCGACATGGTCCACGCCGCCGACGATGAGCCAGCCGACGTCGGTGGCGAAGACGCGCCGGGAGCGGAGGAGGTGGTCGAGGTGAAGCTTGGGAAGTTCATGTGCGTCGAAGGCAACGTCTTCTTCAACGTCAACGCCATCGCCGGCGAAGGGGATAGAGCCGGCACGAGCAGCAACGGCAATGGCGACGCCAATGCCAAGGCTGGTGGTCTCGGGCAAAGACGGTGCCATTCCATGGGATCCTACGAGTACGTCATGGACGCGCACGCCTCCCTCCGCGTGTCCATCAAGCCGCCGAGGAAGAAGCCGGCGGCGGCGGCCTCCAAGTCGCGCCGCCGCGGCGCCATGTCGGAGTGCGAGTTCGGCGCCTCCAAGCGCGGCGAGTCCTCGCTCCGCCTGCCGCCGTTCCGCGCGACGCCGCGCAAGAACCCCGACGACGACGCGGCCGCGGCCGCCGGCGCGAAGCTCGCCAAGGACAGCTTCTCCGTGTCCAAGATCTGGATGGTGCCGTCCAAGAAAGAGCCCGGCGCCGCCGCCGAGAGGCGCGCGGTGTCGTTCCGGTGGCCGGCGGCGAAGGACTGGGACGTCGAGGCCGGGAGCTGCGGCGGGAACAGCGCCGTGTCGTCGGTGGCGGCGGAGGAGCGGCCGTCGTTCGCGAGGAGGACGCTGCTCTGGGTCGTCGGAGGCAGCAGGCAGCTCAGCAGAGTCGGGAGCTGTTCATGATCACCATTTCGATCATCAAATCTCAAAATGAAACCAAAAAAAAAAAAGATGATTCTTTTGTTCAGTTCTTTTACCCCCTCCTTTTGCTTGCTAGGTTATTGGTAGCGAACTAGCGATTGCATCCAACAGCAAGAGAAATTGTAAAACCCATATGCTACGAAGAGAAGAAATTTTCCTTTCATTTTTAACTGCATTTGAGATTTTGAGTCCGGGTTGGTTTCAATTTTCAGCAAAGTGACTCCCTGATCATTACTCGAAAGAAAACATTACCTATTAGGACAATCAAACACCACCTAATCACTCATCAAACTGTACACTACAGTGTGTTAATCTCATTACAAATTAGTCCATTCGATTAGACCAGAGAGGCCAAGAACACAAGCTGCGATGGTTGCAATTGATGATGGTGATGCGAAACCGGGGGCAAAAGCAACTGTGCACAGCATGGAAAGGAAATTCTCTTGTTTGATCCCATCGTCTGATCGGCCGGCTTGTTGGCTCTCGGCGACCATCACCATGTGAGCTTGCTGTGCTGCACCACCACCACCGCACTGTGCCACTGTGCGTGTGCTCTTTTGTTTGCTCCTCGCATTCGGAATTTCGCCAGGACATCTTTCTCTTTTCAGAGGTAAAAACACCACGCATGCCGTCAAGTTTGGGAAGGGATCTTGTCTGATCTGTAAAGGCTCATCAAAGATTCTCTCTTTATCCTATCCTTTTTCCTCTATCAGTTTTTTTCTACTTAACCCACTGTGAGTCCAACCATGAGTGGATCCAAGTGTCTCAGCTCCAGTACTTCGGTTGCAGGTACAAGATCTGAGTGAAAGGTTTGGTTTCACTAATAATTGACTTAATGTAGTAGAAACAGGTAAATAAGCTGGAGATGGACCAGCATGTGAAAAGGACTGGTCCAGCTCCTCTGCTACTGCTACTGCTACACTTTCTCTGCTACATCTTCACTTGAGAAAACGAGATCTTCTCACGAGTCACACGATCTACACTCTGCTGTGGTCAGTGAGCTGTTCTCCCATTACTGCAGCAAGTCCACCACAACGGGAAACGGTGGACACACACACCCCTCACGTTATCACACAGGCTGTTCCAACAGCTCATGCACTCATCAATTCTTTGAGTACTATACTCCGGTGGAGGAGTAAAGTTTCTATTCATACGCGTATGATGTACGAAGTATATATCTCATGAATTTTATGAGTTCGGACAGAGATTTTTATAACTGCAGTCTATCTCTCTGAGATTGACAGTTCACCGGTGTGTGGGGAGATGCAATAATTGATCGGCCATACTACCTGATCGGATTTTACTCCTTCAGAATTTGGTAGCTTCGTGGTCACCGTCGTGTCGTCGTCGGCCAGTGTCTGTGGTCGTCCCGGGCGTTTGGTTTTCTCATGGCAGCCGTTGCGGTCGGTCGGTCACTAATGCTCGGAGGAAGATGTGATCTTCTTCTTCTTTTGACATCAAGGAAGATGTGGTCTTTGGTAACCGAAGAATGATTTAGGGAATGTTTGAGAGAATGGTAAAACAAGGCGAGTATTAGCGTATAATCAGCTCCTACAAGATGACCCTTTCCGGTGCAGCATATGGGATAAATTTGGCCAGAATAAATGCACTGGCGATGAATTTTCACCACCGATCGCCGCTTCCGTATAGGGATAGATTTGTTTTGCAGTTGCCACTTCTACTCCCATGATGAAGATGTTGAGCACCTCTTCCTACGCTGCCCCAAGGTAACCAGAGCATGGTCATCCATTGGCTTCAACGAGTAAGAAATCAGGCTGCTACCATCGCTCGAGAACCTCTGGTTTATTGAGCCCCCCAACACAACACACCACCTATGTCGGATTCGGCGCACAATACTCCTCGCGATCAGTTAGAATATTTGAAAGTGCCGAAACAACAAAAGCTTTCAACAGCATAGATGAAACCGATTACCTTCTCCGACATTGTTGATGATCTTGAAGCCTAAACGAACGCTGCCTTACTCTGTATTTAGCCGGTGACGGTGAAGTTAGGCACCGGTGATGAGGAGCGTAGAAATGTCCATGGCCTCGTCGCCACGAACGGCATGGCACCGAGCGTTTTCGTCGCCGCCGTTTTTGGGATCTCGGTCGTCGGTGCGGTCGTCGATCTCCGGTCGTCACGAGGTATGGCACCGGATCGCCGTCTAATCGTAGGCCAATGGGCCCCGTGCCTCCTATTTCTATTTAATTTGGGCTTGAAATCGTTTATTTCTAGGCCCAGTTGAGCGGCTTTCATTGGGCTTGGCCTATTTGTGTGAGAGCTCGACTTGACTAATCAGTAGGCCTGAGCGCTTCAGGCTTTTACCACCTCCAGCGTCCAGTTTGATAGGCCCACCATTCGAGGCCCATATATCTGTTATTATATCCTTTTCTTTTTGCGATTATCTGCTATTTCCTGCTCTAGCTTCTCCAATAATGTTGTTTTTGTGTCATTAGTTGATTACAACAACTAACTGTTCTAAAAAATTACGACAACTAACTGAACTAGGCCACGTTTTAGAGGAAACAGTCGACAAGGCTGCCATACCAACCAAACAGGTCAACCTAAAACTCTCCACGTAGCGACCTTTCTTACTGCGACACATATGTATATAGCTAGTACGTTGGAGTGCACGGTTAAAATTCAGTAACCAAACCGAGTGCTCTTGTACAACATCACGTCTTGTTAGCCCAGAGCCGTCGTTGAACTCGTGCACGTCCAACGCTGTCGCTTTCTCAAGAAAGTGCATGTGGGCACACCAACGAAGCAAGGTTGTAGCACCATAGATTCTTGAGAGAATATACCAGGCCATCGAGGCACCAAACCAACCGTCACGCTTACCAAGAAAACCCGAACTACTTCTCCCATTAAATAAATAGACGATTATGTTCCATTCCAATCTAGATTTTGTATTGAGACGAGAGTAGCTAACTAGCTAGGAAATTCAGTGATTTTTTTTCATTACTGAACCTTTTTATTTTTAATTTTAAAAATAAACTCTTCCAAAGTTTAAAACTTATTTTCAAAATCTGAATATTTTGACCACGCTAAACAGACGTAACAGTTTTATCTTGCCATACCAGTCGATATGATGTGGCCAAATAATTGTCAGCCGGACATGACCACGTTTTGCCTACTGACATGATCAAAAGTTCAGTTATTGGAAATAATTTTTGAAATGGTTTCTTTTTAAAATTAAAAATTAAAAGGTTCAAGGAAAAAAAACTCAAATTCAGTGCACAGCACAAAACTACAAACGCGCACCGAAGGGAATAATCGGCTTGGGCGCAGTGCAGGATCAATCAACCGGCCGCCCGCCCAGGACGCACCTGCACGCAGCGACGACACGGCGCGCACGTCGTCGCTGTGGGCGGGCGGAGCATATGCTCGATCGATCACTCCTCGATCCGCACGGATACGACACGGGGAAATCGTCCAAAACTAGCGAGACGTGTGACGACTGTGAGTATTTCTTCGTCGGCACACATGCTTGTTGAATTAGACCAACTCTGTCTATCTCTGCTCATGAACAATGCTGGCGATGTTGATAAAGTTCATAACACAGTAGAATATATAATCTCATTGGAAGCCTCTAGTGTCGTGTTCCTTGGACGGACATGATGCTTAGGTATATGTATATTGTGCTTGATCCGGGGGAGGATTTCTTGGCCGATTGATCGATGCCATGCATGCTAAAGAAGATTTTTTCCAGCTCTGATCGATCGAGAAGCAAGCAAGGTCATCGGATATTCTCTTCCTTGGTTGGCTCAATTATTCGCACACATTGCACCGAGCCTTCTGCTGCCTTATCGACGATGCGCCGGCCGGCCTGCCTCATCTCTTGGTCAGAACATTCGGCGTCCCATGCCATGCATACAGTTGTTTGTACCCTTCCATCCAGTTCAGATGATCAGATGAGATCACCGGGAAATTAATAACTCGGTGTGCTTCATGGCTCATGTCGTGTCACCAACAGGAGTCAGGCGGCAATAATATGTTGGAATTTATGGACAGGCAGATGTGCCAATGGGAGAGTTGATAATAATAGTCCAAGGCCTAATTTGGTCATATCCAAAACTTGTCCTAGGGTAGGAGTACTAGCAAACACAATTCAATATCTTTTGACAGGGAACCTATCTCGATGAGAACCAACTGTATTCGAGGATATATGGATAAGAAGCATCATCGACTGTGAGATATCTAGCTTTATTTTCATCTGTTCTTGGTTCCGGCAATCTTCAGATACGAGATAAGACCATGAGGATGTGGATTTTTTTTTTCATGTCTCGTGATGCAAAAGGATAGACGAAACTAAACAGAACGAAACAAAACACTTTTGGGAGATAGCAACGTATAGCAGTAGCTGCTTCTACGACCTACTACGATATAAAACTACCTCCTCTCTGAGGAGAGAATTCTCCACACGTAATTTATCAAGAATACTGAATATAAATGGTTTCAGACTTCACATTGCCCTTTCCATTCCAGCTACCATCACAAAAAAAAAAAGAAAAACTTAAGAAGTGATTATACTCTTGATCTCCAATCAATCAAAAAATATGTTCATGTTTGCATAAGTTGAAGATTACATTGGCGTATGTAAAACGAGAAAATTATTAGCATATAATTAATAAAGTTTTAATTATTATAAACTTGACAAATTGATATATTTGTTATTTCGAAGCAACTTCTATATATAAAGGTTTTGCACGAAATATACCATTTAGTAGTTTAGAAAACGTACAAAAATCGAGGAAAAATCTAAATCTTAATGAGAAAAGAACATGCCCTAATTTTTTTTTTGAGAACTCATGCCCTAACTCGGGTCAAGCATTTCTGCCTAGCTACAGCAAAAGCACGAGATGCCATTCATGGCACGATCAGATCCATGTAGCTGAGCCCTACCAAAAACTACTAGCACTGTAGTATCATTTCTCTGAACCTGGCCAGGAGGAGAGCAGACGGCACACAGTCCAGACAGACAAGCCATCGGCGCGTCGTCATGCATCCGATCCTCTCCTCGCGGTCGCCCTACGCCATCTGTTACCTTTGATGTCACAGTCTTGCATGGTAGGCCACACCCATGAAAATCAAACACCGTTCATGGTAGGCCACACCCATGAACTTAGTTTTGGACTTAATTTTGATTTCTTTCAATCATAGTTTGTTTTTCAG